TTAGGGTCTAGGGTTCAGGGGTTACATAGGGTTTGGGGTCTAGGGTTCAGGGGTTAGGGTTCAGGGTCTAGGGTTCAGCGTTTAGAGTTTAGGCCTCAAGGGTTTAGGGTTCGAGGTTCAGAGGGTAAAGGGTTTAGGGTATCGACTAAAGTCAGAATCTGGAGGGATAGGCAGGGATTCCAGGCGGACCTATTAGGGAATATACTGCACTTTTAGTCTAAGGCTCATGTCGGAGTGTTACAAAATTACCGCTGGACAATCTTGTTCTGATAATTCGGGGCCTGTAGAACCTCTTGAATCCCCATAGATCCCTCCAGGGCTCAGAATTGAAACTGATTTGATCTGACGGGCAAAGAATGATGCCAGCCGCCTTTGCGAGGCAGCTCGCGGCTGAATGCCGCAGATCTTGGCGCAACCTTCTTTTGCCCTCCATTTGCTCGGGTTGTCGGTGTCCGTCAATCCCCTGTCTGTGCCTGTGTTTTGCTCCTGATTTGTGTGGCCACCTGGTTCAGCCAGCATGTGCCGGCGCCCCAGTCTGCGGTGCTATGCGGTGCTACGCGGTGCTGTGTGAGAGCAGTTAATGAATCTTGTAAGATGAGGTACAGGACATCCAGCTGGCTGCCAGAGCTCCATGCTTATGCTGATAATGCTGATAATGAGTGTCGAGGCTCTGTAGTTAGATCAGAGCCAAAGACAGCCAAAGGACCTCAGCCCAGTGAGTTGTGGGTACTTGGCCACAACAGTAAGGCAGCCTGTACTCCGAAACGGAAGGTTTCAGAGGAGCCGAGTCGCTGAAAGAAAATCGTGACACTGAGCAACTTCCGCTCTGAGATGAGCTGCTTCTTGTTTATTACGACTTAAAGTGTGACAGCGAAAAGCAAGGATGTGGCGTGATCAGACGATTCCCAGGCATCACATCCAGACCTCGCTCTTTTCAGCTCAAGAAGCCAATGAGCTTGTACAGCTTCGGCTCGGGCTCCAAATCGCCGAGGCTGGCTTCCGAGTGATGGTTCATGCGGATGAAAGACACATTCTAGGCGAATCTTGAGTTGGCCTCTTCAAACGCCATATTGAGTATTCGATCCCCCCGGTTGCACAAGTCGCCGTGCACAGAATCTCCTGACTGTCTCCCTGACTCAGATGCTCGAGTTTCTACGGGACAGTCTGCTGTGCAATTCGGAGGAGTCCAGGCCTCAGCTGGGCTCTGCCCTGGTGCTGAACATGCTGAACATGCTTATGGCTCTGAGGCCAAGCCAGAAGTCTTCGGGACGAAGGTGCTTATCTGACCATTCTCTGAAACTTGGGGGAACGCATCAAACTGAGCTTTTTTTTTCAAAGGGCGGTGTGCTGCACTGGAACTCCGGCTCCGCAGACGAGGAGAAGGACCAGCGGCCCTGCTGGCTGTTCATCACTTCTTCTCCTATTAGTACCGGACTAATTACTGATACACCTGTGAATTTTATGGTTATGAGAAGTACTATTACAAACAGCCCTGACGTGCAGTTTTGGTGTATGTCAAGACCGCATTTTGGCAAGGCCGGCTGAAGTGATCTCTTCGCAGGCCGCCTGATTCACTGGTCAACTTCCCTGCAGCTACGTGTCAGAGCTTGGACAAGCAGGGGGCACCTGTGCTGGCGAAGACTGAAGTGCCTACGACCCTGCCATGGGATCATCCTCGATTGAAGAGGCCGCATTTCTGATCAAGGTTGTTCACAGATGTATCTAGCTTGAGGTTAAGGTACTTGTAGTAGGGATCCTGTCATATCGTGGGCATGTGGAAGTGACCTTGTTTTGACCCTGCAACATCCTGCATCCATAAAACAGCAGTTGGAATGGCAGGGAGACGCCCCCCCTGCGGAACAGGCACGTGGCCTCACGGGGCCAAATTCATCTTAACCCTAAATAATACAGTGGTTTTCATTTTCCTTTCCAATATCCTTTTATATATCTATATATATATATATATAGTACAGTAGTTTCCATTTTCTTTCCATTATCCCTATATTACCCCAATATACTCTAGTAGGTTCCATTTTCTTTGCCATTATCCCAATATGTCCCCAACATAACCCCTATAATCTTTACATAGCCCCATTATAATAGTTTCCATTTTCTTTTCCATTATCCAGTACCCTTGGAAAGACTCACAGGACTGTTTCCTAAATAGCAGTTTCCATTTTATTTTTCCATTATCCCTAACATAACCCCATTATAGTAGCTTCCATTTTCTTTTCCATTATCCTCATATATCCCTATATTGTGACATGCGTTGTGCGAGCCTATGAGCTGCCAGGTCGCCAGTGCAGACGTTTCGATCCACACCGTTTCTGCCTGACTAGTGACTAATTGGGCTATAATCTAATCTCCTTAAAGGGGATTATAAGGGGGATTGTAAAAAAGGGGATTACTATAGGAGATATTAAGGGGGTTTTAGGAGTTTAGACTGTAGCTCAATTAGGTCCATGACCGAACCACGGGGTCTCGCAAGAACGCGATCTCAGGTCCCTGAGTCCTCTGGGCAGCGCGATAGTCGGCGTCTGAGGGGCTACAGTCTAAACTCCTAAAACCCCCTTCATATCCCCCATAGTAGTCCCCTTTATAATCCCCTTTATAATCCCTTTATAATCCCTTTATAATCCCCTTTCTAATCCCCATTTAAAACCCTAAACCCACAACCCTTAAACTAGGGGATTATATAGGGGACTATTATACTATAGGGTTTTTTCCTCTCCCCGTTATAATCCCGTGTATAATCCCGCTTTGAGGAGATTAGATTTTTGGGAGGCCTGGGACATGGCTGACTTGTTGAGGCCTGCTCAGGCGCTGCCTTGGCGCAGCAGGAGTGATTTCAGATGAGCCATTTAGGGTTTAGGGTTTCGGGTATATACCATAACATAATACTACATAATATAATGTAGTATATATATATGCTTATATATATATTGGGATAATATGAGTTAGAGTCTAAACTCCTCAAAGGGGGCTATATAAGGGACTATATAGTGGACTATTATAGGGGTTATTAAGGGGTATCCTAGGAGTTTAGGCCATAGCTCAGATAGTTTTTTTGTGGATCATGATCCCAGTTTCCATTTCATTTTCCATGTGATTCTTCCCCCTATATATCCCCTAAAATAATCCCTCTATAACCATCAACCCTAAACTAAACCCCAAATAACACCGTAGTTTCCATGTTCTTCTCCATTATCCTCATATATCTCTATATAACCCTAAACCTATCCTTAGATAATCCTAAACCCTATATATCCCTATGCAATGTAACCCTTGAACCCTGTATATCCCTATGCACTATAACCCTAAATCCTATATATGCTCCCGGTCCTGGGATCTTACCCCCATGGGGGGGAATCACCAACACAGCATCGGTCGACAGGGGGCAGGGGGGACCATACTATGGGGGGTGGGGGTGGAGGTAGCAACCCTGGATGATATATCCCTATGTAATATATCCCTACATATAGTCCCCCTTAAGTAGATAGAATATGGGGTTTATGGGGATCTTATAGTAATATACCCGAAGCCATATTCTATCTACGTAAGGGGGACTATAACTCATCAGAGGTAGCTTGCTTGTCAGGATGATGGCCAGCCTGGGAGGGGGCTTTATGTGGCCATGCAGCGAGGCGTCGCCAACACGGGTGGCTCCGGGAGATATAGGGGATAGATAGATAGACAGATAGAGAGAGAGAGAGAGAGAGATATATATATATGTATACATGGGATATGTAGGGGTGATATAGTGATTATAGGGGTTAAGGTGATATACAAGGATAGGTAGGGCACGGATATATGGGGGTGATCTAGGGATATATAGGGGTTATACTGATATACAAGGATATTTGGGGATGATCTAGGGGTATTATCCCCAGTAATGGAGAATCAAACGCTAAGCCAAATTCAGCGCAGGACTTGGGCCTCGCGATCCCCCCAAGCAGGTCAGCATCTGAAAGATTCAGTTGTATTTTGGGTTCACCTCTGTCGGAAAGCGACTTCACGCCTCGAGTCCAGAGATCGACGGCACGATCCATCGCCCACCAGGCTTGAAATCTGCTGTGTCCTGCTTTCTACGGACAGCCGTGCCTGATACTGACAGGCCGACAACCCCGCTGCAACAACGGCGGCACGTTGCCAGGCCCAGCGTCAGCGCTTCAACCTCGGGTGTTGTTAAGATGCATGCGGCCGTCAGCTGACTGACCTGCCAAGACTTCCTCGCCAGCAGCTTCCTACGAGGCTGTCCCAGAGGCGCCAGTGTGCCACTGCTCATGCGGAGGGACTGCCAGAAGATGCCTGACTGCTGAGGACACTCTTGATTTGTACATGCAGAAGTTGGCAAGGCCTTCCTGTAACAACATACGTGGAAACGACAAGTTTAAGATTTACTCCCTTTTCCTGGATTTCAGGAGCCTGCCTCAAAACGGGGCACGCTACCTGTTCATACGCCGCTTGTCTCGCGGAGAGTACGAGGTTGCCGGCGCGCAACACTTGCAGTCTGAGGGCTTGCACTGTTTGCAGTAGATGGGCATTTACCTCCAGCGCCTTCACAAGAAGATTCTCCTGCTTAGTTTTGGATGCTTTTGGAAGCAGGGTGTCACTTGACAGGTTTTATTGCCTGAGTCGTGTCAATATTGTCTTTGGAATCTCTATTAGACTGGAGTAACTACGTCTTCGGCCAGTGCTACTAGGTATTGCTCAGCTCTGAGATTGGGTGTGTCCAAACTCCTTGGTGCTGGAAAGGTGGATTCCCCAGCTTCCTGGTTCCCAAACATGTGGCCAGGTGGATGGTTGCCGGGTCAGCATTGCACTGAGAGGCGGCGAGGCGGGTAGGCAGTTCGTCGTCCTTCAATCAGGACGTGCTGAGCTGCACGGAAGGCCTACGTGTACGCAACCAACAGCAACGATGACACCGATCGTGCTGAATCCCTGCACAGGTGTGGTCGAAATGCTTTTGCACACTGTACTTTGAGCAGTGCTCGTGTCGACAGTTACTTGTTGCGGGCCGCGGATAACGCGTTGGCGCAGCTGGCACGTTTCTGGCTTTGGTTTCGACCAGACACGCCGGGGTGAATGTCACACGACATGCTCCCCGACAACGCGCAGGCACGATCCATGAATGCTGGTGGACCTTCAGGTGCATCTTTCAACCAGCACGAGGTGTGGTGGAGTGCGGTATGGTTTGCTGTAGTCACTACCAAGTATGGAGCAGTATCAGATGAAATGCCAGGTTGTACCTCGGGTGCCTCCTGGCATGCGGAGTCAGACAATGCCTCTGCAGCATCGGACCCAGCAACTGCGCAGTCATGGACAAGCAGAGTGCAGACTGACGGTTTGCCAGGCACATGCCAAGTTCCGGCAGTCCCTATGCAGGCGTTCTTGTCCGAGGCGTGGGGGCGTCGGCTGGCTGCCATCTCGCAAATCTGCACAGACACTGCACCTGATGTGTGCGCAGCTCCCGATGGCGGCAGCTTCCTGTTGGGCAGCTCATTCTACAGCCAGGCAAGCGTGCCGGCCTTGGACATTGCGCAGAACAGCTTTCAGTAGTGAGAGCCTGCCATTCAGGTGCCTGAGTCGAAGCCCCCTCACATGGAGGCTCCTACTTATAAGACGCAAGCCTTGCTTTGCGTTTTGAAGCTGGCCGAGGCATTGCACCTGATGCAGACGCAACAGCCTGTTCAGACGCTGCGAGCTTAGCCTCGGCAACGGTTTTCAGCAGCGGTCATGTGCAGCTCCTCTAAAAAGGCAGTCTCATTCGCAGTTGCAAAGGCCGGACTCTTGTTTAGTCTGTGCAGTCTTGCACATGCACAGCAAGTTTAGCAGACCTGCACTGGTGCTGTCGCCAGCCTGTGCAGGTCACATGCACTGCATGGCTCCTTCTTCCTGTCCATGGACCAGGCAACACGTAGATTCATGCAGATTCTAGGCATTGGTGTGAAAGAAACATTGACCCGCCGCTGCAAGGCAGAAAGGATGCACGGCCGGGAGCCCAGACAATCTGGTCCATTCTCTTGTTTTCTAGAAGGAGCGGAGAGCTGCAGAACTTAGGCGCGAACTTCCGGACATACGTGACAGCCTTGGGGATCCTGATGTGCAGTGCCATGTTGTGATTGCTTCGTCTGGGAGATCCAGTCGCTTGCAGGGCCAAGTGCATCATGCTGCCCTATCCTCAGGGCCTTTGTGATGACTAGAGGGGCGATGGGCTGCGCAGCCTGAACACAGCAGGAATTCAAACAGTCGCAGGATGCTCGAAGTAGGTAGCAATCATGACCATGACGGTCCAGTTATGGCCTTCAGTCGTTATCACCGAGGGCGGGTATCCACTGCTGGCAGCGCAGGCGGGTTGCTCGGGCAAAGGCTTGCATGTGGAAACGAAGGCAAGCCTTACAACATCATATCATACCTGGTTGAATCTTGAGTTATGTCTGCCAGAAAATGCCAGAAAAGTTTGCTGTTAAACTGTTGGACTGCTAGTTTTAGCCAGCCTCAGAGTTGCGAGTGTTTTTTTTCAGGCGCCTGGGGCCTTCTACGGGCCCCCGTCCTTCGTGGCCGTCTCTGGATGACGGGCAAGTCCTCCTTCGATCGCTTCACTGCTGCTTCCCGCGATGATACATGTCAAAGCAAGCACACAACTATAAATACAGCCTCTATGAATGTTCATGCGGGGATTGCAGAAGCTCTGTTTTCAATTCGCTTGCAGACAGTTGATGCGCCTAGAGAAGAGCCCATCGACATGTATTCAGAGATTAAAAATTTGGCAAAATGTGCAACGCACAGCCAGCTTGCATGTGCAGCGAGCTCTAGCAGCACAAGCAAACTTGAAATACATCTCTTTAGGGCGGCAGCTCGCTTGTTTGGCTGATGGCAGATGTAGAGGTTGCGTGACTTAAGAGTTGTGATTTGTGCCCAAAGATAAAGGCGCTCTTTGCTTTGAATCAGAGGATGAGGCAAACGAACGTGGCCTTGCTTATGTGGAGATATGTCTGTTTCTGTGTATTCCTGGCTCCAGCATCCATCCCAGATTTCAGGGAAGGATGGCAGGGAAGTCGCCAAACTGAAGGTGGACCAGGCATGGGTGCCAGTTCGCAGCCTCTGCGCTGTGCCATCATCCTGGCATCCTGCTTCTGCGAAAATTGCACGAGGGCTGTGGGAGCCATCGCGCAAAGCCGAGGTACTGCTGCACTCCATGCCGTCTGCGAGTAGGCCATCGCTTGATGGATCCAGAAACTGCTGCCTGCAGATTTGCAAGCTTCCAGGAACTGTTGACGAAGTGCTGTGGGCACAGCCGGCATTCTTGTGGTGAGTGGGAGCAGATGAGCGAGGGACTAGTTGTGAGCTGGAACATGGCCAGAATGGCTCGGCTTCCATTGCAGGCCTGACGCCTGGATGCTTCAGAATGTGCTTTGGAGTGTGCAAAAGTGCCGAGGGCAAGAAAGGCGCAGCAGCTGCGCAGGGAGCTGGCCCTGTGTCGAAACTGCAGCGCATGAAGGTTTGTTTGTTGTACGCGTGTGCACTGCGTACACGAAGCTTTACTCACGTGGAGGTGAGCAAAGCTGCAGCTCTTGTAGCACCAGCTTGCCCGCCAGGACTGGAATGGACTTGACACGCTTACTGCTTGTGGCTGTTGCATGTTCTACTGGTCCCAGCAGGCTGTGCCCTTGTGTCAGCGGATCTTCTTCACCAACTTCAGCAAGAGGCAAAGCGCGCGCCATGTGCAATCTACTTTTGCAACTCAAGCATCCTGCATGACGAGTGTGGCTTCTGTTTCAGGTTGGAAAGCAGCCAGCACCCACACCCGGGCGCCGCCCTGTCCACGACGTAGTCACTATCCCCGTGCTTGCGCCCCATGGCGAGCCGAAAAATCAAGCACCCAGCGACGTGGTCAAAACTCGGCCTGCCCGAGCCCAAGAACCTCAGATTCGACTGCAGACCTGAAGTCGTCTTCGTTCACACCAAGGTGGTTCGAAATCCGAAGCGCCTTCAGAAAGGCCTAGGCCAAGGCCCAGCCCCAGGCAGGAGCACACGAGAGCAGGGTGGGCTCAGGTCAGGTAACCAGTTTCAAGTGAAATCCAGGTGGCCAGGCCGCCCCGCCCGTGAGAATTATCACGGTCAGTGCCAATGACGAGGCCAAGTGCCGAGTTCCAAAATCCACGAGCTTCTCACTGAGTGCTTTTGTGGGAGAGTGGGGAGTGGATCCCCATAATAATCCCTATATAGTCCCCAGTTATACCCCTGTAATGGCACCTATATTATCTCTCCCTCACTCCCCCTCAAGCACCAGTAAGGCTTTGTTGATCTTTGTTTTTGTTTGGCCGTGGTTTGGGATGCAAGCGGTCCAAGTCCGCGCTGCCCCAGAGCCCAGCTTTATCCAAAGGTTCCGCCGCCACCAGGTGCCCGACATGTCAGTGTCGGCCGCAGCCTCAGCGGGGGTAGCTCGACGACCCATTTCCTTGTGTTTACGCAACATCTCCGAAAGAATAGAAGGATTTGCACGGAGCTGAGGCACCGTCCAGGGCGTGGAAGAGGCCAAATCTCAGAAAACAGCGCACATGGTGCAAAAGGCACGCTGATGGTTGTGTGAACTAACCTGTGCAGGGAACGCAGACGTCAGAAGAAGAGAAGGTGCTTACATCGGTCACACCGAACCTACTGGCAGCTTCACGCTGCTGCCAGTTGATGTCCTTTGATGCCCTTTGCAACTGCTCGCGAGGCAGCAGCGCAGATTGCCGCTCCGCCTGTTGTGTCTGAAGTTGCTTCGTTACCGCCTTCAGCTCGCCTGGGCCTCCTTTGCTTAGTCTTGCTGGTAGCACCTTGGTTGTGCGTTGAGGAGGTGAGGCAGAAGCAAGACCTGCATCGAGCCCAGCCAGATGCTGCATGCGCCAAGTGAAGGAGACAGCTTACAGCTTGGATCCAGCATGGACTTCCTGGTACGAAGGTAGCTCCATTGCCGACGGATGCTTTGCCGGCACCTCGCCAGGCCAGGCGTTCTCCCAGAGGATTCTCAAATCGACGGAGGAATGAGCTGAATCAACTGTTGAAAGCCGTCTCAGACCTTTTGCAGTGGCAGGCAGCTGCAGTTCAGCAAGGCGAGTTGATTCCTCAGCTTGTTCTGGGCCATCTTCTTGGTCCCAACGGATGACATGACAGACCGTTTTGCAAAGGACCTCGCAGCACTATGGCCGATCTGATCCCTTTCACATGGATAGGCAGGATAGATTGCGAGGGGTGGCTCAACTGGAGCTGCGACTTTGGCAGGATCACGGCGGAGAAAGATCGCGATCGGAAGAGGCATCGGGAGGGATGAAGCCCGGCAGCTGTATCAGCTTGACAGTGATGCAGGGTCCAGGCCCAGATGCTTGCAGAGCAGATCCAGGAGCAAGGGCAGCAGTAAGTGCGCTCCGCTCTTCATTGGGCTTCTCCACTCGGACAAATCGCTTTTGGCAGCCCATCCGGCTTGAGCACTTCTCGTTGAGACCTAGCACCATAGTTTCGCGATCACTTTGCACAAGAGTTTGCACATGTACGGCTCATGAGTCTTGACGTCTCTTGACCATGGCTGCTTTTGAGGTCCCTGTGCCATGTGGTTTTGCAGTAGGCACAGAGAAAAAACATTGGATATCGTCTTTTTATCGCAATGGCGCTAGTTAGCCATGGATGGAGGCTTCTGGGACAAGGCCGGGACCGCGGGACCGCATCCTGCCTTCTGTGGGGCTGAAGCCAGTTGTTTGCCCTGCAGGCAGGTCTGGTGCGCTGCAGCGCCTGCCGTGTGGGACTTGGCATCTAGTGCTTGTAACCTAGAGGACGATGCCTTGCACTAATTAATCTGGGTGCTCTCATCTTTTTTGCAGCTGTTGCCTGCAGGGTCATCCTTCCTAATGGCAAATGATTGCAAATGCAACTGTCCTAATCAATCGGTCAATCAGCACCTGGGAAGCGGAAGCACTGCCGTCCAGCAGCTGGAGTTGATGGAAGTGCAGCCCGCCTTCGATGTGTGCCAGTTTCATGTACATTTTTCTTCCCAGGCCCGTCTTGCCGGCATCGTCAGCCGTGCCACGCCGATCGTAACAGCCCCCAGTGATCCTCTGTGCACTCTGCGTTTCAGCGTGTCTGAGAGCTGCAGGAAGACTAAGAGCGCATGTGTTCCATGCCGTCACTTCAGTTGAATCGTAAACCTTCCCTGACAGGCCCAAGGCTTGTGGCCCATAGTGTGTCATGCAAATAAGTGGTGGCGGCACGGGCAGCTTCAGTTGATGTTTTTGAAGATGAGTGGAATTGTGTGGCAACTGGAAAGTGCAGTGCTTTGCTATCAATGGCCTTGGCAAGATCTATCCCGCAGCTGCGCGGTTCACTTGTAATTTAGTCTGATAGGGAGTGTGGAGGCAACCAGAGCCGTGAGGTGTGGCTTGGCTGCGACTCAGGGCGTATGTGCTCAGGGCCTCGTGTTTACCCCTGTCAAAGGCCAATAGGCTCAACACAAATCACCGAATATATGGCACCTGAAACACCTGCTTTGCTTGATGGATGAAGCCTCTGAGGAAATCAGCCTCGATCCACGCTCCGATTGCAGTGGGAAGGCCGATTCCCCTAGCAGTCCTAGCAGCCGGAAGGCAGAGTGTCAGACGTGGCCCAGGAGAGCCGACTAGCAAGCCATGGATGACGCAGTGTTTGTGCAACGCGGCAGCGTTTACATGTTGACTTCCAGCTTCAGCGAGCCACTGCCATCAAGAACGATGCTCAGGTTCGACACTGAAAGCGAACAGGCTACAAACTTTGCGGTAGCGGTTCCAGCCCCATGCATCCTCACATGGCAGAGGACACATGACTTGCCCTTTCCGAATCAGGTTTGGAAGTCTCTGTGACTTAGCTGACTTAGCTGCTAACATGATTGAATTTTGCCAGTTCCGTTTGGGGTTCTGACGGACATGCGGCTTCAGCTGAGCCTGAACTGAGGAAAGCCTGGTTAGGTGTCTCCTTCAGGGAACCAGTACCCGGCACAAAGCAGTTCGAGGTGAAGGCCGCCATGACTTGCTGCTTCAACTTGGCTTCGCCTTCCCCTGCACAAGCTGAGGCTCCCAACACAGTGCTCATAATCACGCCGAACATATTCAAGAACGACGTCGTCAAGGAAGCGCCTGAAACTAAGGTCTGTCCAACTGGAAGTGAAGTTTAGGTGAGCGGCTGGAGCATGCTGGAGCATTCCAAGGTATGAGGCAGCCGCCACAACCAAGAAAAACGCACTTTTGGCAGCACTTACTTGACGTGCACGGGTTCGAGAGTCATCTAGCCCTGGCTTCTCGAGGTCGTGTTTCTACACCACATAAACTCCGGCTGCAACCTCCAAGAGGAGGCAGCTCTAGCGCTGCTTCTGTCAAAGCTGCTGCCAGTAGAATGAGCAGGCAGAACAGGCACCAGAAGAGCTGAAAAAGTCAGTTGACAAGATCTTCAAGGACAAGAGGTATGTGATCTACACAGAGGAGTGGCGCTGTTGTGGCGATAGATTGAAGGTTTGTTTGATAGATTGAGGATGTGGTTTGATACTGCATGCGTTGCAAGGACCTCTGTGAAGAGTGCAATGACATGCTCATGGAAAAGCTGAACCTGCGAAATGCGGATGAGATGAAGGCCGCATTAAGTGTAATTAGCTACAAGGTTGTCAAAAGAGACACTGCAGAACTGCCATGTAACAGGCGGCCTATGAGAAGCGTGCCTTCCGCCGCAACATAGCAGCTTGGTGGCGGCAAGCGAAGACGCATTGCGATGCATCCACTTCTGTTGTAGCTCAGGACATCATGAAGTACAGCGCCAAAGTTGCGAAGGTTGGTGGATGTTGGTGGAGAAATCATACGTGTAGTTTCCAACCAACAACACATCCACCGATTTCATCTAGAAAAAGATTGCCTGCCTCTGTCCTCTTCTGCCTCCCGTCAGGCAAGAACGCAGGCGGGAGTCAAGAGGAAGTATGACTTGTGCATCACCGCAGCCAACGTGGAGCACAGTCCTGACGGGATGCCAGTAGCTTCTTTTTTGCGATGGAAACAGCCTTTGGTGGGTGGTCTGAGTTCAGTGCACGACATGCGACCGGTGCTTAGGTTGACCGTTTGTTCACCACAATGTCCAAGCTTGCCCCAGCACTGTGCATTGGGCGGAACTATGGCGACAAGGCCGGGTGTCATCAAGCTTGACTGCTGAGATCACTGATATTCAACTTAACCACGGCCAGGTCTCCAACGCTGACGTGAGACATTCCTTCAACATAGTAGTTGTCCTCACGAAGGAGTGAAGACCTTGCTCAGCTTTGCCCTTTTCCAGGGTCCTTTCTGCAGTGCAGGATGCTCTCACATGCCCAGACTTGATGGGAGAGCTGAAATCTGCGCTGGAAGCCGAAGCCAGCATCCTCATAGTCAGAGCCTCTGTTGTTACAGCCTTCACTCCCTGCAGCTTCGCTCCCTGCAGCTTCGCTCCCTGCAGCAGGGGTTCAATCAACATTTTCAAGGTGCACGATTTGCTAAGCTGTCCGGACTTGAAGGCTGAGATTGAGAAATGTGAGGACTGAGAAGCACTTGCCATTAGGCTCACTGACGCCTGTCCAGTCCATGAGGACAAAGTAGTTGCATCGAGCTTGATGCGCTCTGCGCGCTTCGTCTACATGTCGGAGGCAATGCAACAGCCTGTGCTTTGCAGTTGATAGTATCATTTTCCCAACCAGGGGTGCTGCTGTTGAAGTTTGAGAGGTAGTCACAAGCGTCGTGCTGGGAATCTTGTCGCCTGGCACAGTGGAAGCCTCAGGGGGCCAGTTGACTCACTCCATATTCTCACTATAATCCTTTTCATTAGGGCCCCCTCCAAAGGTACCCCCCAATTTTGGAAACCCTAATCGCTGTACCCTATAATCAACTGCCGCAACCTTGCAGATCAAGACCGACGACGCCAAGTCTCCGCGAACAAAGCAGGCACTGTCCTCCGGAGGCGCCGCAAGATTTGCAGAGGTTTGTGCTTGGCAGTCTGCAGAAACAGTGTCAGATGGCGAGGCGGAAAGCAGTTCCGGCTGGAGTACAAGAATTGCTTTGCTCTGGATTTGGCCAAAGACGGCACGGGGCAGGTCTACAACACGAAGCTGCTAGGCTTTCAGAACCTTCAGAACCTGTCATCACACGCGCTGATGACTGAAGTCCTCATTCGCCCTTGGCAAAGGTTCAGCGACAAGAAGAAGGACTTGCCGGGCGACATTGACTCTGCCATCAAAGCCTTGTTTGAGCTGTATGATCCAGCCAAGAAAGGCTTCTGGGCCAAACTGAGCAATCAAGTGCTGCAAGCAGTCCATGTCATCTGAAATGAGGCAGCATCGGATGGCCGCAGTTTGCAGAAGTCGACCGCATTGTGACCGAATGCCTGGGTGGCCAATACGAAGAGATGATCTCGCGCAGAGCCTTCTCCATGATGAACTACCCAGGCTGGTGCCTGACCCAACAACCATTATTGGCATCACCATCACTACTGTTGCTGCTGCTATGTTCGTAGTTCCAAAAAGGGCTTGACATGCTTGGTGACACTCGAAGCTGCTGTTGAGAATGCTACTTGTGAAGCAACTGCACGATTGCCAGGGTTGACCCTGGAGTCGGAGATCTCTTTCACAACCTTCCACAACTACCATGCCTCTTGACCTGACGGGCTCTTGCTCCTGTACCTCTACTGCAACGTTTTCCAAGGCCTTCGTGGCAAAGCAGATGGGTGCGTTGGAAGGCTCCTTGGTCTGCTCACCCGCCTGGAACAGCTGTGCAGAAGCAAGATTCACGCAGACAGTATTTTGTCGGGGGTACATTCTTCAGGTGACAGAGATGCAAGCATGCACTACAAGTACATTGTGGACAAGGCAAGGTGCGTTTATGCCTTTCGGCTCCCACCCTGCCGAGTCACAGGGCTTGGAATCATATCCTTTGCGTTCTTAGAGCCTGCCCTGTGGACTTCAATGCAATCACCGCAAAGCCCATCCTGCCTGTAGGCCGAAGCACGAGTAAGATGATTCAAATGTGCGGTCGGGCAGGTCAAGAACTCCAAAAAGGGAAAGCGCTTCCTGAAGCTCTTTGACCTGTGCGCCAGGGAAACGATATGTCAGCACGAGTGTATTTATCTGATATGAGCACATTTCACAGGCAGTCGAGTGGCTGGGCGCTGGAATTGTTTTCCATGCCTGAAAGAGATGGCTAAGCCAAGCAATCCTCGCACTTTTGGGATGGACGCGCAGCATCTTTTCCCCTCTTACGTTCCGCAGGATCATTGCCAACTAGTCCTAGCAATGACCTCCAGCATCAGACCTTTCACCTACTCAAGGAGAGCAACCTGCAGAGACCTAGGAGTCGCGGAGCCGATAAAAGCTAGGATCAAGCCCCTGAGTGTTGCCACATATTGCAACAATGTGAAGATCTGTGCGACAGAGATGCAGGTACATCGTGCATGATGAAAGCAAGGAGTCCATTGCCTTTGCCAAAGCGCTCAAAGTCTCCATAAAGGATCACACGCTTCGTGGCCGAACTTGGCATGCATCGGAGGTGGTGCTCTTTTCACAGTTTAAAGTGTGTAGAGGATAGTCATACTGGCTTCAGGTGTTGTTGTTGTAGCTAAAGTGCTTATTAGCAGTTGTCATGACAGTAGTTCATTGAAAGTTGTGGAAGTAGGTAGATGTGGCTTGTGCCAAGATGTGCCAAACAGTGTCTCGAATCTGCATTCGTGAGGCCAAATGTTCGCACAGCAGTCTGCAACGAGAAGGTCCCAGGGAAGGACGACATGTGGCCCGGACACCACCAGTAGCATCGATTATCAGCTTACAACAACTGTAAACGTCCACAATAAGAACAATGGCAGCAGCAAGATTTGGAAGAGTATCAGGAATGACGAAGAGTCATTGTCTGAGATGCCAGTGAGTGAAATGTGCTGTTTTTTGATCTTCTTGCGCTTGCTGCACCTGGCTCTGAACTTTCGCGGAGAAGCTAAGGGCTCGCACCCAGATTGCGGCGCAAAGTCTGAATGTCCTCATTCTGCTCCAGGAAGACTGCCTACTTAAGGACTGAAATGCCTTGAAGACTTTGACACAGAGCTTGTCACTACCTCGGTTCGTACAATTGAAAAGCTTAACCAGAGGCGACAGTTCTTCGTCCCGCAACATCCAAACCAGACAGGAGGAAGTGGCCAAAGATGTCGTCGCTGGAGCAAATGAGGCTACCACATGCTGTGCACCCTGTTTATATGCCAGAGTTTTGTCACGGCAAAAGGCTTTGCTATGGTTCCCAGCCTTGCGCCACCGTGACGCCTGACCCTGCCAGGGTGCTCAGATTCTTGTGCTGGTGAACATGGAGAACAGTCCTGTCCTGGAGAAGGAGCAATCTTCAGAGAGTTTTTTGCAGTATGCAGACAGCAAACCCGTTGCGTTTGTCACTTCAACACTCGCCCGCAGCCCGCAGGAAAGGAAAAAGGCAAATGCAGAGGTGCAGACAGCGCTGTCGAGACCTCCGGTCGTGGAGTATTGGAAGGGCAGTGACCAGGTCGGGACGCAACTCATGCTTACCATTGAGAGGAGTTTGGCCTCTGCTCCTCTCACTGTTTTTGCATTCTACTCGTACCGTCTGGGCGGCTGTACGAGGACCCTCGTTTTCATGAAATTAGTCACAGTGTCTAACCGCAGGCCTGTTGCTGCAAGCTGTTGGACCTGATGTCCTTCCCGGTTGATGCGAATGCGAAGCGGCCATTGCCGAACAGGAATCTGAGAGCCGAACAGATTTGCCTGTGCAGATTCGTTTTGCTATTTCACCTCGCTAAGAGCATGGTCATCTGTGAATTGTAGGTATCCCATGCGCAAGCGTTTGATGATGATACCTAGGAAAGCAACCTTCCGGCAGAAAGAAAATCCCGTGGTCCTGTTCCTCTACCAGCAGTGCGAGGAGGTGGGCACTTTGCACCCAGCCACAGGGCATCTCCTAAGATCCCTAATCAACCCTGCAGCTACTGCATCCGTGGTTCCCGAATCCTGACTTGGCAGGATGCGGTGTGTGGTCAGGCGATGACCGCCTTGGCAAACTTGGTCAGTCCTATCAGATTCTTGGCAGAGATTGCAAAGCATTATCGGCTCTGTTCTGTTCGGGCTGCCAAGGCACCCCTTGATGTGAAGAGGGGTCCAGTTCTAGTGATCGTACATAGAACATCCCCAAACCCTACAGCTAGAACAGCAGCTTCCATTTCCTTTTCCATTTTCTTTTCCCGTGTGATTCTCCATGATTGGGGGTATGTCGGTTATGTATCCTAAGCCCTAAGCCCTAAAGACTGAACCCCAATTTGAAAACTCTGAAAAAACCCTTGACCAATCTTCGTGGAACATCACAGTATCTCAGGCAAGAGCGGCGATCTTACCAGGCCATTCTGGCTTTGTGCTGGTTTGAGGTTTAGGATGGTACTTGTATCTATAGGGTTTAGGGTGAAGAGTTTAGGGTTGTATGTGTCATATTGGGCTATACAGGGGTTTTATGGGGTTGCACAGGCTTATATTGGGTTATGTGGAGTTATATAGGGGTACATAGTTACCTGGCTAATTTGGGCTTATTTAGGGTTTAGGTTGTAGGGTTTAGCAGGAATGAGCTTGTGAGCCTGTGTTGCTGCAGGGCAGAGTTTCTGCGAGATGGTGGCTGCGATGTTCTGCAGGAGCGTTTCTCCTCGCTTTCAAGCTTGAATCGGTACACGTTTGGTTGTTGCTGGTTTCTGCAAGCCTAAGCAAATTTCACTGTCTGCTTGCTCCTACAAGGTTCCTCTCAGTCTCTGCAGTTGCGGAACCTGCTGCGCGATGCGTCGCGAATTTGGCTATGTATCCGCCTTGTGCACGAAGGACGGTTCGTGCGAGTGTTGCCGGCTGCGCTTCGTCGTTGGCTGTAAACACTGCAGGATGGCCGAGTTGGGCACAGTCAAGACACTCATCGAAGCAATGCAGTCGCACGTGGACTCACCCAACCTGCAGGCATGCAGCAGAAACGTGTTAGCTGATTCTTGATGTGGCCTGAAGTATGTCCCGGTAAGGGAGATGCGTGCTGCGCCATTGTGAACATTGCTCAAGACGACGTGGGCAAAAAGAAGGTCAACGAGCTAGGCCCCGTTGCTGTGTGATTATCTGAATTTGTTTGCTTCTTTCAATATGCAAATCCCTGTCAGCATCATGCTAAGTTCAACAAAAGCTAGAAGCATCAGATATCCTTGCCACCTTGCTAGTTCTGCGTGGAGAATCTCTGGTGTCGAGCACATTGTCAATTGATACCTGCGCAGGCGGTTTCCAGCAAATGCTGCAATCACAGAAGCGCTTTGAATACAACGCCGATTTCTGGGAGATGCGATGGGGGATGAAGGAGTTGACGGAGGGTGACACCGTCATGGCTGCCTGCCTTATGAGCAAAGCAGAGAGTGGGCCTGGACAATCCGCCTCATTATTCGTGAGCACAGGGGTATAATGTAGGGGACATATAGGGACAATGGTAGATAAGTGGAAACTACTATTTGGGGTTTAGGGTTTAGAGTGTCTGCACTGAGGTGAATTATCATGGTAAAGGACGTTGGGTGACCGGAACGATCACGCGAGTCAACAAGGGCAATGGTGCCTACGATGTTGAGTACATGCATGGCGGGAACGACCGCAAAGTACCCACCAACCTGGTCCGCCCCAAAGACAAGTCAGATCTTTGGTGCATTGATTGTCTTTTTTGCCGCTTTGAAACGAATTGTCCTGCTGCAAAGATATAATAGTCGTAGTAGGAGGAGGAAGATTAGTGCCACTGTTACCAGTAGTAGTAGAAATAAAGGTGACTATAATTTGCAATGGTTTAGCGTTGATTCCCAGGACATGATTGATGAGTTCGTGGCCGTTTGGCAGTGGAAGCCTGAAGGCAAGCTGACGGAAGACGAGCTGACACTCAAGGCTGATGGAATCCTGACCTTGAAGCGAGAAGGTCAGGGAGCCGCTGGGACCTGGAACGTTGCAGAGCCCAAGGGCGGGGGCCGCAACCTGGTGAAGATTAAGCTGTCTGTGGAGCCCTTCTCCTCCATCGAAATGGAGCGTATTTCTCTGACCACGCTTCGCTCAACAAGCGGACCGCAGAGAGCAGTGCTCAAGGACTCGTTGGATGACTGTCTCTATGTGGAGTACTTTGAGTTCCCTGAGGGGTTGGATGCTTTCAAGAAGCCCCCGCCCCTCCTGGGCCGAAAGCCTGACATTTCCCGATCCGAGCAGCAGATCGATTGGGTGAAGACGGATGCGCCGCTCGGTTCAACAAGTCACACTTTTGGCACGACATGTGCGTTTGTCTTGATCTAAACAGTTGGCCGCACTGGATTAAGCAGAGCTAGTGTGATCGTCAATGAAAGAATCCGTTTATGCTGAATAGAGACCCCCAGAATCCCTCTGTACTCCGCGTAGACCTCTAGGCTCCCCAGGGTATCTCCATCTTGTACAGGGCAGCTGTTTCCCCAGGCCTTGGACGGGGCTGCCAGCCAACTTCAACACGAACTTCGCCGCGAGGTGTCCTTCCCAGTGCTGTCAGTAAGGTTGCAATAGATGAGTCTAGTTTAAACCTAGACTCATCTATTGCTTTTAGACCCTTTGAGATTGCCCTTGCTTTGCAACATAACTCTAAACCCTAAACCCCAAACCGTCTTAAACCCTAAACCCAGATTGGGCTGCCAATCTCAAGGTGGAAGGGGGTGGTTGAAATCACCAAGATGGGCGACTATCAGATTAAGCTGGAAGCGGCGACGAGTTCGATCTTGAGGCTTTCCCATGCCTTGCCCTATGTGAGCCACAGTCCAAACTCCTTAAAGGGGGGTTGTAGAGGGTTCTTTAAAGGTTCAGGATTTAGGGTCTAAACACCTTAGAGGGGGGCTGTGTAGGGGATTATATAGGGGAGTAGTATAGGGCTTATTAAGGGGGATACAGTTAGGGGACACCTTGCCCCTTTTGGGTAATAATGCCACCGCCAACCCATTAGATGATTATTCCTATACTCCCCCGTACAC